TTTGTAAACGAGGTTTGAAATTCAGTTTTTTCACTTCAATCTAGATGCGATGGTTATGAACAACCCTGAACCATTACTTGTCAGGTTTGCGAGTCATTGTTGGGTTATAATTCTACTTATGTATAATATCTAAGTCTGGGAGCGTGTTTTAATATTCAATTGGTTCCAAGGACGAAAACTGGCGTCACTGTATACCATAACCTCACATAAATTAGTACAGTAGATTTTTATTAGGAGTGCTAGGCCAAGCCAGTTTTGATATTGTTAACTATGCCATTCAATTCTAATGTCCACGCTAGAATACCTGCTGTAAAATAAAATTATGTATTTTAAATGTTACTAACCTTCGAACACATAACGCCACTCCCAAGAAGTATTAGATTTACATCACAGTTACATGCTGAAACTATCATAGCGATTTCTATGTCTTTATGTGAAGTGGAACGCCTTGTGTATGAGGTCCATGTTAAGTGGGTCCCTTGCGAGAAGATACCACTTCCAGATTAGGGGATAGATGCGAATCTACTGAATAAGACGGCCGATGAGAGGTGGTCTCTACCTAGCTGGTTGCACGGAAGACTAACAACCCTCGTCTTTTTACTTTAAATGCGTCTATCTACGTGGCAGAATCATCCAGACCAACAGAAATGCGTTTTCGTAGTTCAGTGAATGAAATCTAATGTTGCAGCAACAGGGTTGAAGGAATTGGCTGTGACGGTGTGTACCGAATTCATGGAGGTCAAGATTAGGGATTTTGTGAACACGGTAATTTTCTTTCGGGTTCTGTAAAAGCGCGACATTTCTTGTCCAGCGACGCTTTCGGCGAATAGATTTTTATGAAATTTGGTATTGAAAACCCTAATTAAAATAAGAGATACCAGAGTTATATCGCAGTGATTGCACAAACTACGTCACTTCTTATCATAATCCATGCGCAGGTCACCTGAAAGAATCACGCTCGGAGTTTGGGTGTTTTTATAGGCGCATCAACTGTTTCTGTTTTACATACTTGTATGTTTTCCTGTTTTGTTATGTATTGAGTAGGGAGGAGCGTTTAAGGAAACTGTGAGGAAAACTGTACCTCGTCAGTGCGTCTTGAAAACAAAAATATTGCAATAAATCTCGTATTTATATCGAATATAAATGTCGATGTCTTTGGTTGTGGAGGCAGCAAACACATCTGAAACGTCCTTAAATTTCTACCAGTCTACACAGCGTTATACAACCCAGAAGACAGCCATTTTTATGTTAGTCGCTTTGAGAACTAGAAATCTCATTTTTTTAACGTTATGTTAGACAGATGAGCTCAGGTTGTTTGTCGCATTCCTCTAGTGACCGATTTAGAAATCAGGACAGGGTTGTTTGTTTTTTAATGTCTGTTAGCCATATTGGATTGACAGGCTATTATTACATCTTGTGTTAGTTTTTATTAAGTGAATCTATAATGCGAGATAATCTATTTTCGTAATTTATCTTTTTCTGGTTTTGTCTGTTTGATCAAACGTGTTAAGACGTCGTTCCACTTGTGATGCATTTAGCATGTTAGGAACATTCAAGTTGAAACGTGCCTGACATGTATTCAGCAAGTGCCTGGGTCGAATCTCAGTCCACTGGACATCCTAACATGCTCTGCGTAGTGATCGGTGAAGCATTCAACCCATAGGTTCTTTTAAAACCAGTACGATCCACACAAACCCTCTGGACCTTAAGCAAGATGAATTGGAAGCCAAGGCAGAGACCATTTACTTAAGACGGTAAGAGATGCTGAGGAAACCCATCAATGGTGCTCTGATGAGGTTTTTATTCATCTTATCTAATCATATGTTGTCATGAGGCCGAGGCGTAGCTGAGAGAAGTTTGGTTGCTTTTGGAAACTGATTAAATTCAGACGTCATTACGGTCACATGAGTTTGTTTTGTTGCGACACAAAACAGCTGATAACTGATCATATTAGAGTACTCTTTATTGTTTGTAAGCGAGTTCCATTGACACGTGGAGAGAGGCAATTGACTTTGATCTTCCAGATGGATGTGCGTGCTTTCTGTTCCATGAGCGTAACTTTGCGCAATTTCTGTTTCTAGGGAAACGATACGGTCCTTCGAGACATGACAACAAAGCGGGTTTTTATAAATTGCTGCCCTTCGAAGGGATTAATTTTGTCTCCCATTTTTATGTAGAAGGTAGACTGAAATAACATGAGGACCGTTATCTATTACGTATTAAAGAACATTATTTCGCAAATGGGAACTTAACGGGGAACTGAGGGCAGAAATTTTTGTCGTGACAAGGGGGCAAGATGGTGTTTATCGAACTGTGGTCTGCAGGTCTTGCTGATCCACCGAAGATCTCTTCCCGTTTATTTTGTTTAAATTCTTAGTATTTCATCATAGAAAAACCCCATTACACGAATGTATTAAAATACTTAATGGTGAACGGTCTTCCTTTCGCAGCTGATAGTTGTTAAACTCAACAGATTATCTTCTCTTATGAACGAGGTTATTACAACAGAAGTAAATCATGGCACCTTATATTGATTGGGTTATTTAAATCCAGTTTGTGGTCTCGCCACCTAGGCCGATTTCTCTGACGGCCACTTCATAAGCTGCCATCTACGCTTCGACTTCAAACACAGAAACTCACTGTGATGTTTCCCAACAAAAATCTTGTAACTATATTTTTTTTCATGCATTCTGTAGCCTGTTGCCGACCTGTCCCAATGACCTTAATTTAAACGAATAAAAATAAAAGTGGGGTACTTGTTTATTTCTTGCCATTTCCCTCTCGCCGTGTGTGTTTGAGGTCTACGTGTATTAATACTTGACACTTTCTTTGTATGTTGCATTTATTTTTTATGTAGTGTTCTGTCTGACGACAGGTCCATATGAACTGGATCCTTCCATCCTTTTCTCGGACTGGGACCTGTTCATATACGATCTTGGCAGATGATCCAGAAGTGGTTTGCCATTGCCTTCTTCTGTGTGTGAATGGAGTAATTATTGGGATGCCACGGAGAAACCGGAGAAGCCCCCGGAGGAAAACTCCGTGTTGCCACCTTAAACAGTGGTTTCATCGTACATGGCAAACAGGAAGTTCTCTCTCTCTTCGGCTTCAAAGAGTTGATGTTCTAATTGATTATTGGCAGTTGTGAATTGAAAAGTGATCTAAATTTTGTACAAAATTCCAACACACATGAATTATTTAAATACAGTCAAAGATGTCTTAATGTAACCTATACTAAATTATCTGTATTTAGTTGTAGTTTATTTAACAATGTTGTAAATAGCTCAGACTGCGTAGAGTCGTATGACTAGGCGATTAGAACGTGGGTGGAAGTAGTCGTGGTCTAATTTTGGTTACTATTCTGGCATCTTTCTGGAAGGACTGAAGAAATTTACGATAAAATCTCCGTTAGGTCAGCCGGTCTCTGGGACGAGATTTGAACCTGGGACCCTTCGTATACGAAGCACGAGCGCTGATCATTCGGTCAAGAATCAGTGTGTAAAAAACAGTCCTATCGTTTTTTGCGGCTGAAATGCCAGTATTCTGAATTATAAATCCGTAAATAAAATGAGCAATATAAGATTAAGATGAAATCGTATTCAGTTGCATCTTGTTTAATATTAATTTGTGTGTGCTCTGTCGCGTTAATTCCTGCTAGGACGAAACTACATCCCATATGCTGCACATGTCGCACGGAGTTCTGCTAGTAACATTTGTGTTTGCTCAGCTGATTCCATCTACAGATATATATATAATTTTCCAATACTGTCGTTGGTGAAATGATTATAAAGCAAACAATGAGTAAGAAATGGAATCAGTAAAAGAAATTACTGCTGCTTATTGTATTGCGCTGAAATAATATTCGTGATGATTCCCTCGGTTTAACGTATTGTATAGGCCTACTTCGGGTTGAAATTTATAATACAATAACGAGTTATCTGAAACGTTCGTTGCCGTAAGTTGTCAACAGTTTATTAGCTTTACAAATTTAAGATTACGGTGCTGGAAATGCATTTAAAAAGGAAGCGTTACATTTATGCATTTCATGTATAATTTATTTTCTTAACTTATTTAACGACGATATCTCTACTCAGGTTATATGGTCTCGAATGATATGACGAGTAGTGCATAATAAATTGGAAACGATGTGAAAGGAAGCGGTCGTGGCCTAATTTTAGTCATTCCGACATTTGCATGGAGGTGCTGAGGATGCCTATCAGCCTTAACTTCCTGTTCCTGCTGCGAGTGTTTAATGCATATTTTGTATGTTTAATTGCATTGTTTTTCCGTTAATGCCAGCACTACTGCATTCACTGATAAAGTTTAACGCAACTATCACTTCTCGGTTTTCAGTAGGAATTTCTGCTACTCAGGTAAGTTCATTTTATTGTTGTTATGGAGCGATGCTTGACTCCTATCGGTAAAACCTTAGCGCTTGGCGGTGGGTCATGCAGTTCCAGCCAGGAGCCGATAAATAACAGTTGCATTCAATTTTATTACTGAATTCACTGAAAAGGAAAGTAGGGAAAATTAAAACACTATCGGAGGCAACACAAATGTCATACTGGGGTCTAATTTATACTTCAAATATGACAAGTAATATGTGTCAACTGTTACGATATTTCATGTATATTGAAAGTTCTACCAGTTCTTTTCACAAGATATCTGTCTTCGAAACAACAATTTTTGTTGTTGCATTTATATGGTTTTCTTTTTCTTAGAACACACTTGTGATTCTTGGCAGAATCTCAGTGACGTTTGGTGTAAGTTGGATAACTGTTTGCGCATTTTATTTCAAAATGTTATATTGTTACGACGTCACAGATGTGATCAAATCAAGCAATCACTTTTCTGTGCGACAAACGTCAGACTTCTATCGCCTTGAATGACTCAACAACGCCCATAGATAACACACCTAACGCCATACTGCGCAGTTCTTTCGAGATCTTATTGGACGTACTACAAATATTAGTTCAGACACTGTTTTCTTTTCAAGTTTGCAGGTCGGTTTTCATATACGGATTGAAGATATTATTCCGTTCTACATTTATTTTAGTATTTTTATGTGTTGCAGTTATGTAGCTTTTATTATATACTTCGTTATTCACCAAACAAAAGAAATTGTATTTTTAAAGGTTTTGATTTGATTTCAGAGTTGCACCTGCGCAAAGTAGTTTGTTTATTACTGGTCGAAGAAGGCTATTGTGGTATATGTGTTTAGGTTGAGTGGATGTTGTAGAGGGACAGCAGTAAAAACGTTTTTCTTCATACGGGTTTAAACCCCATCCCTTGTATTATTTTCCTTTTAATTAATCCCAGTATTTAGTAACATAAAGTATGTCGGCTTCACCAATTGCTCGACAAGCTACTCAGTGTCAAACAATTCCTTCAAGAAGAGTTGTAATAAACGATGCTTCACAGCTTCCAGTAGATTATTCAACGACGCCAGGAGGAACTGTATACTCGACCACACCGGGAGGTAGGCCTTCACCGTTATGTTGTTGTGTACTGGTATATGTAGCAGACTTCCCGAAGCTTACATTTTGTCAGTACAATACTTCTTGGGTTTGACAAAACTAAAATAGGTTGTAACATCAGTTTCAGATTTACGCCTTTCAGCTGGCCAAACATTTTCGGTCTTTTTGCAACATGAAGGTTCTTTATTGTTCATTAACGTCCACCCACTGGAACAAACTGCGAATCGTACATTCTATCGTTTTAAGATTCATTTTAATATTATTCTCCCATATATGCACGATTGTCTCAAGTGGGCTTCCATTCAGCTTTCCAAACATATTTTGAATTAATTTCTTACCTCTTATATGCCGCCAATATCATTCTCCATGATTTCACAACTTTAATATTGGTGAAGACTGCAAATTATGATTCTCCTCATTATGAATTTTGTCGTGATTTGTACTCCTGTCTCGTGTGTCCAACAAAATATTCCCCACAGCATCCTGTTAACAAACACTCAATCTTTTAGTCACACATGATTGAGATGTAGTTGTCCTTGTATGTCCAGTTTTTTTCTTGGATATGGAACTCAGTAACATATTGAAATCGCTGTTAAGTATAAAAGTTTTCCCTTAAATTTAAAGACATTTCAGTTTTAGAGTATCTATTTGACTGTACTGTAATTTTATTTTGCAAAAACTTCATAAATGAAACCTTTACTTATGAGATATATTTTTGTTTCTGTAGGCACACGAATTGTGTACGAGAGAGCATTTCTCATGCAACTCAGGAACTCTCCAATTGCCAGGACACCACCTAAGAACTACCCAAATTTCCCAGCATCATTGATTAAGGGAGTTAACACACCAAAAGAAAATTCCAATATCATACAAAGTCCAATAAAGAAGGGTGAGTAACAACATTTATATATGTAAGGTTTGAGGTTTATATACATTAGTGAAACGTCTTATTTTTAAAAATGGGCTGCCATGGTTGTGGATAGGCTGGATTGATCTAGTGACATTTGATTGTCCTAGGTTGAACTGTTAGAAATCAGTAAAGAAGATTACAGTTTAAGGCCATATTTAACACTTTGAAGAACATCAGCACTTTGTCAGTGCCTCTTTTACACCACTATCATAAAATTTTATCATTAAACATGTGAGGTTTCATAATTTTTAAAATTAATTTCAGCAGTTGTTAAAATTTGCTTTATCAACTGAGCTGTTGCGTTTATACAGTCTGTTTCCCATTTTTCTGGGATGTAAGAACAATATCAAAATTAATCTAAATGCAATGTCTTCTCAGGCGATCAGCCATGTGAGAATGATGTTGCAAATGAATGCCAGTGTCATATTGCTGATCACCTGAGAAGACTCTGCTGTGTTGCTATGAAAGCTTCAAATCTGATATCAGAATTTAAGTTTAAAATTGTCTTGGGGTGGTTTTATGTTGTACCAAATGAAATTATTAACTACTTAAGCAGGGAGTGATTCTTATGTAAAGTATATAACTTTGATGATCATGATAGTAAATAGGAGAGATGGCATTGATAATGGTACTGATTAAGTTTTGGTGATAAGGAAGAGACCATGTGATTTATGATATGGTTTCGAAGAAAATACAGATTGTACTTTAGTAGTACTGATTACGGTCTTGTAGTTTTGTAAACAGTACTGAATGTTCTTTGAATATTTGTCTTTATTTCAGTATTTCATTATTCATGCCTGGATTAGTTTAGAGGTAACAGTGATTGAGACACAAACATCTGGTCTGTGCTGATGATATTAGTTTAGTGGGTTTAAAATGTTTTTCAGATTGCAGTTTTGGAGTTTTCATAATTTTGAGTACTTATCCATTGCCCCTTGAATCTTTTTGTCATGACCATAGGCCTCTTATTTTTGCTCATTTATGTTGCAATTCCAAGAGATATGCATGTAAGTGAAGGGTAAAAATATTTTAATTTTTTCGTATTATTTTAATGGAATCGTACAGATTTGGTTACTAAACATGTGTAAGAAAACTTGCTTAATCATATACATAAGTGTGTGTGTATGCATGTGTGGGTGAATACATTTTTGTTTGTTCCCAGTATTTATGCCTATGTAATTTTCCATTGTGTCAAAACATTGGTGTTTGTTGCAGATGTGGTGAATGATGAGTCACAAGATCAGTTCCAGATGGAGATCTAAGAAACACAGAGAGCTGTAAGTTGGAGATGGAACCTGGCTGATAAGTGTTTCAGTCAGCGTGTTGCTTTTCTTTTTATTCAGCTCTGCTGGGCAAGCTTTGCCTGTAAAGGCAATGCAAACCAGCCACTTTCAGTATACTGGAAGTGGTATGATTAATGAAAATGGTACAGCCATTAGAATTATTAAAAAAGACCATAAAGAATTAATTCTGTATTGAAGAATGATCTATAATGTAGGTTGACGTTGCATTGGTGTCAGGAAGAGGAACTGTTGGTAATGGGTGTTTTCTGATGGTTGTAAGAGAGTTCTGTTTTACTTGGAGGAATGTGTTGTTTTGCTCAATTTGAGTGCCATTTCTTGGAATTGTCTTTTTTATCTGCATACGCAAGTTAATTGGGTGCCATTTGTTGTCTTTCTTTATATATATTTTCATACATAAATTTGGTTCAAAGTATTCTGAAGGAGCACTGGTTTAAAGTACGAAGTAATTGTATTTTGGTTTAAAATTCTTAAATGTTTTCTGTTTCAAGGAATGTGTATTGGTTTTCTCTGCTTCATTATGTGCAGGTACAAGTAACTACCATCCTGAAGAATTGTCACTATAGACAATGCATATTTAAAAATATAATATCAGTACTGTGAACTTAACAAACGTACCATCATATCAACTTAGAAATCAGTCACTTGTTTCTAATCGACAACAAAGAAAGCTACCAGTGTTTTTATACATGTCAGTAGCATATATATGTGTGTGTGTGTGTAAAATTGTGTTATGTTTTGAGATTTTTACTTTCACTATTTTAAAACCGTATGACAGTTCCTCACAGTATTTTAACGTACTTTTACTCCAGAAAGAAGAATGTATTTCGAAGTACTCATTTCAGTATAACTTTGTGAGAAATAGTACTTCTACATTTTGCACTGTTTAAGTGGTTGTTACATGCTCAGAATTATTTAAAAATGGGTTATTCTCATTTTGCTTCTGTAGTCATATGAAATGTTACTTTGTTTTGAAAGCTGAATTTAGCAGGTTGATTGCGAGTAGCATATGCAGTCTTGCATATACAGTCTTGTTTATTAATTTTTGTATGCATTTACATGTATTGTGCTTTGACATCTTCCTATTGGAAAATATGTATTCTTATAATTGCGCTCTCTTCTGTGGTTACGTTGTAAGACCGTGGTAGAAATCAGCAAGATTCTTTTGACTCTTCCAGAACTGTGGAGTGATATGAATTCTCTAGGGGGCTGGTTTGTTCCACCTGTACCAGTCGGGTGAAACAACATATTAATACCAGTAAATGTTTTACATATATTTGTAAGAAATTCTTGAGTGTTTTGTATTGATTTGAATTCTTTAAATTGTTTTATTATTAAAATATATTAAGGGCTGGCTCAGTACCAGTGGGATGTATGTTCTGTGCAAATTATTTTTTAAAATCATTAAAAGTTGTGCTGTTTATCTGTGTATTTCTTTGAAGGATTATGTAACCAAAAGACATAATTATGGAAACTGGAAAATTACACGTTGCAGATGTTTAATTTGGGCTGCATGATAGAATTGCGTAGTAAGAGTTGTTATATGAAAGTGGAAAATAAAATATATTTAAGTTGCCTTTGTACCTAAACACATTGTCATAACAGGATGAAGGCAGAGGTAAAGCTTGATGAATTTCTGGACCTTAGCCTTTAATCCTTTCCTAGTTCCAGTTAAAAAAACTGGACTTGATCTTGAGACTCTTCTCCATTTCATAACCCTGTTTTCTTAGTGAGAAGTTTTCCATAAAAGTTCTGTGTGTTTTCATGTTTCTACCATGTGAGTCATATGTTCAGGCTTTTGTAACCAGGGTTGCTCAATTTGAAGTGACTGTCTTCTGGGTTGTTGCACTGTGTGGTCTGGTAGAAGTTTGCTGATATTTCAGACGTCCTTGCTATCTCCATTATCATTGTCCTGATTATGGAGACAGCAAGGACCTCTGAGATGGACAGGGCATGCAACGTGCATGGGAGAGATGAAGAATACACACAAGGTTTTTGTGGACAAACCAGAAGGAAAGAAACCACTAGGAAGACCTAGATATAGGTGGGAGTGTAATAATAAAATGGATCTTGGAGTAATAGGATGGTTTGGTATGGACTGGATTCATCTGGCTCAGGATAGGGACCAATGGCAGGTTCTTGTGAACACAGTAATGAACCTTCAGGTTCCATAAAATGTTTGGAATTTCTTGTGCGGCTGAGTGACTATTGGCTTCTGAGGAAGGACTTGGCACTGTGGAGTAAGTTTATTTCCTTGGAACCAACATGCACCTCTTCTTTTCAACTGCCCTGTTAAAACTGGTTGAGGTAAAAAAAAATCTGTTTTAAGATATCAAATTATTGTGGTAGCAAAGATGTGCTTTTCTGGGTTCGAACACCGGCGATTGTACACGTTTATATGGTTTCACAACCACAATGTACTCTACCATTCGTTTCTTTCTGTTGGCCATTATCCTAATTTGTATTAATATAGTGTAATGATTTTGAAGGAAATATGTTTCAGCATTTGTATGTTAAATGACAAAAAGTAAAAAGTTTAAGGTTCTCACATGGGTTGAAGTTGTCGATGCTGGTCTGTTGGGTTGCAACAGCATGTGCACTTAATACATCTTTTGCAGTTGGTAAACTGTAATAAAATTTACAAGAATTTGGCAGTTTTATTTTACATTTTATTGTTGAGGCGCTTTAACAGAATAATAAGGTATAAGCCGCCACTGCAAAACATAGTTTGACAGCAAGGCCATCTAGGAATCGTTTGGTGTACAGTGATCCATATAATTCATCTTTTTCCTAATAGGTGCCACTTTGTAACCGCCAAAAGAAAGAAAGGGCTGTGTAAGTAGCACGGAAGTTTGTAAACATTCATGTTTGATATTTCCGCCATTTATTATTGTTCTTTCTAAACTTGTGTAGTGTAAGTTATTATAACCAAACTTTTACAATGTGCGATATGTTGAAAGAATTACGACAACGCTCACAGAAGAGGAAAAAGCTCCTTGCTCAAACTGTAAGTTAATCAAGTGTAATTGTGTACAATAGAACAGGCAGCTCATGCAGTATTCATACAAGGTACACAGTTCGTTATCCTTTTTTGAAAGGTACCCCATAAGTTTGTATTCACGTATGTTCTTTTCTGAATCTAAAATTTTAGCTATTATATTTGTGGTGGCGAGGCTTTGGTTATTTAGTGTCAACAGTGTTCGTTACAGAGAATATTGGTTGGTTAGTAGGTTGTTTAATGACTTTTACAACTGCAGTGGTTATTTAACATCGAATGATGTGGGGAAATGGCCATCACTGGTGAGTAGATATGAATGTGGAAATCGGAGTTGGTGGACTGTTTCAAGATAATACTCTGACGTTGCCCACAAAAGAGAGATTCAAACCAGATACTTCCCAAATGCAAGTGTAGAACATTACTGTTAAATTGGAAATGGATAGGTGGTATATTTTTGTGTGTTCTTACCTTTACTTGCATGATCATCTTGTTTGTTATATGTAACATTTATTATACTGTTAGTGTGTTTGTAATTACTTTAATTTTTATGTTGCAGTTTGGAGTTTCAAATGTAGATGAACTCCGGCAAGCGCTTGGTACATCGGTAGAAGCTCCTGCAAAGAAGGTTTTTCGAGAAAGCACTGTTCAAGAAGAGAGGGTTCAAGAGAAAATTGTGACAGAGGATGCCAGCACAGATGAATTAGTGTATACAGATTCCTCAACTTTCCTAAAAGTATGTTTGTGTGAGGAATCTTCTGTGTTATAGAACCAGAGTTTACCACTGTGACTACAGAACCTTCCATTTCTTCCTATCCTGAGGCTGCCTGATCAAGTTCACTACAGTCTACTACTGTACTGTCTATTTTGCTCCTCACTTTATTACGTTAAGAGTACAACCATTATATACCATACTTAAATTATACTACCTATTTATATTATGTACAGACAAAGAAACTGTAGAAAAACATTGTGACTTAATTGTAAACATTTGAAATTTATCAACAGAGTAAAAGGATTGTGTAATTAAGTGTATTTTTAATTCTATTTTAAACTGTGGCTTTTTTGTAAGACATATGAAACTTGATGGCAGACTGTTCAAGATTTTGATTCCTACACTGTTCTGAAGACATGAAAGGTTCGCAACTGATCTAAGAAGCTGATTCTTATTCCTTATGTTGACACTGTATGTAGCGGAATTACTTTGAAAATGTTCTTACTTATTTACATTGAATTTACATGGAAGAGCAAAGGTCTCTAATCTCTTAAACAACATGAATTTCTGCGTTTGACACCAGCCCTTAATGTAACAATTAATAACAATCTGAAAGTCTGTGGTTTGATTATTTTTTCAGGGTACACAGTCATCAAATCCTCATAATGATTACTGTCAGCACTTCGTGGATACGGGACAGCGTCCACAGAATTTCATCCGTGATGTGGGACTGGCAGATAGATTTGAGGAGTATCCAAAGTTACGAGAACTTATTAAATTGAAGGTTGGTTTTACAAATATACCTTCATTTTGAGTATATGTTAATTTAAATTTTACAGGACACTGAAAAAAAAAGCATCTGTAATAATACTGGTCACTAGGTCAAGATCCACAGGCACTTTCGAACATTTATGTGCAGGGTGGCCTACTATAGTTATAGTACATTTAGACTTTGATCAATAGATCTAGTAGGCTGCATTTGCTACAAATATATTTATAAGTTAATTTAGTGCATTTTCTACGCTTTTAGGATGACTTAATTGCACACACAGCAACTCCTCCAATGTATCTTAAAACAGATCTTCAGACTTTTGATATGAAGGAGCTGAACAGCAAGTTTGATGTAATTCTTGTTGAGCCGCCATTAGAGGAATACCAACGAACAATGGGTGTGACAAACATGCAGTTCTGGGGCTGGGATCAGGTAAGATTCATATTGTGTTGTGATGTATCTGTATTATGTAAGTACAAGGAGGAGGTTGGATGAGGAGCCTGCATCCACCACCTTCAGAAAGTAGATGGTAGTTTCTTGGGTTAGCTGCTGAAGGAAAGTGCTCTCTCTGTTTACTGTTTGAATTTTCCATTTCTTTTCTCACACTAAGGTGCAATGTCATTGTGCTTCTATGAGATTTTTTTTTCGTATCCAATACACACCTTTCAGCATTGGTGGTTAGCAGGATTCACCACCCATCAGTACATGGGTTCGATCGGGATCTCGACATTTAACGCTCCTGCTGCGACCCCCTTTTTGCGAGATGATGATGAAAGTGGAGTAATTGTTGGGATGCCACAGAGAAACCCCGTGATGCGTATACCACGGCCTTGCCCAACACAAGTTGTAGATCTGAGCACCTCTTGGAATCGAACCTGGGACCCCAGTATTACAAGCCCAGCGTTCTAACCGCTAGACTACCATGACGGTTTTCTATCAGATGATACTTAGAATGAAAGTTAGAAATCTTGTTTTAATAATTAAATTCAATCCCTTCTTAGAGTGATTGTTAACGGCAAAAGTCTATAACAGACGCACTGAAGTAAATACAAAAATTCAAATAAAACATTGAAAGTAACATTTAAATAAAAGTTGCCTATGCTTTAATGTGTGAGAAGATTAGAGAAACTAATGTGTTGATGAAAGTACAATTTAATCTTTAGCATAACACATGTTTTACATAGTCTGTATGCAAAATTAATACATCACCTCAAAAATAGTTGAAATGGATGCTGTTAGTTTTGTGAGTAAAAGAGGGTAATGTCAGTAATAGTATCAAAAGCTAAAATCAGTTCACAACCATGCGTCTTGAAAGGTAATTTAATATACGGGACTGCAGACTTTTGTGAGTACATACTGGTTGTTAATCTGTCCTTATGAAAAGCTGTGAAATTTATGTACTTAATGTGTCCCATTTTATTTTCTTCAGATAATGCAATTAGACATAGGAGAGGTAGCGGCAACTCGAAGTTTTGTGTTCTTGTGGTGTGGTTCATCAGAAGGTTTAGACATGGGCCGCTTCTGCCTCAGAAAGTGGGGATTCCGGCGCTGCGAAGACATCTGTTGGATACGAACAAATATTAATAACCCTGGACATTCCAAAAACCTTGAACCCAAGGCTGTCTTTCAAAGAACAAAGGTATACATTTTTTTTATGAAGTTAACACTTGAATTGACTGCAGAAAATTTATGTATTTCGGTATATTATATCTGAATCATGCACACTTTCAGGAACACTGCCTTATGGGTATCAAGGGCACAGTGCGACGGTCCACTGATGGGGATTTTATCCATGCAAATGTTGATATTGACCTTATAATTTCTGAGGAGCCTGAATATGGATCTTTGGAAAAACCAGTCGAGATCTTTCACATAATAGAACATTTCTGCTTGGGTCGTAGAAGGTAAATTTTAAATATTGAACTACTAGGAATACCCACTTTTTAACTGAATTGCAGTATTTTCTTTACAGTGTTTTTTTAGGTTCATGCACATACGAGGGGCAGTCAAAAAGTTCCCGGAATTGTGGTATAGCACTGTAATGGTAGGACATATGGCAACGCTTACCTAATCACCTTCAAAGTAGGACCCTTGTGCACACACACACACTTGCTCCATCGATCCTGCCATTGTTGGAAGCACCGGCGGAAGGCTTCGTTTGGAATCTTCGGAGTTCGGCTGTCACATTTGATTTGATGTCCTCCATGATTGCGAAACGCGTCTCCTTGAGGCCCATTTTCAGAGTAGGGAAAAGCCAGAAGTCACTCGGAGCGAGATCCGGAGAGTATGATGGTTGGGTGATGACAAGAATGCTTTTCGTGGTGAGGAATTGCTGCACAACCAGCGATGTGTGGCTCTGTGCGTTATCGTGATGCAGAAACCACCCACCCTGCCACTTGTCGCACCGATTCCTCCGAACTGCTTCGCACAACCTCTGCAACACTTGCATGTAGAAATGACCCGTAACAAACAGCCTGTCAAGGTGGTACGAACTCATGGTGCACCACACCGTCGATGTCAAAGAATGCCATGAGCATCACTTTTTCCTTGGATCGGACGAGGCGTGATTTCTTTGATCGGGGAGACGACGCTGTGTGCCACTCGGATGATTGCATCTTTGTCTCTGGGTCGTAGGCGAACACCCATGACTCATCACCAGTGACGATATTTGTGAGAAACATCGGGTCCTGCATACTTTTCTTAAACGGGAATTCCGGGAACTTTTTGACTGCCCTACGTACTTGATATTGCCTGTTCTCCCATTTGTAGTCATTCCTGTTATTGTTTCACAAGCCTAGTGGAAAACTTGTGGATTTCTGAATACAGTAGACTTGTGTTAAACTTTATTTCACTCACAGTCATGCATCATTTCTGTTACTGTGAACACACACATATATATATATATATATATATATTATAAGTTCAAATTTTGCATATCAGTTGCCTTTTTAGTAGTAACTTATGTGCATAAATCACGTGTATTTCATTGTACTCCTATCAGGCACTACAAGAACTGGGAGGATCTTACAGTATCTACTCAGATTCTTCCAACTTTGCAGAGAGCCTGTTGAAAATTATAAATTTTGTAACTGCAGTTTAGTGATTATTTCTGTTTATGATTTTCACTGGTGTAGTTTTGCAGTCTGTAAGGTAAGGTAAAGTTGTCTCTGTGCGTAATTGCAAGGTCTTGAAGATATGTAAGAGACTGGAGGTAGGGCCCCGTGCATTATCTTGATTCTAGATGACCAAAGAATCTGTGCCCTTACTAATTTCCATGAGTTACAAAATGGAAAGTAAATACAGTTTTTGCGTGGTTATTTTGCTCATATTTTTGTATCTGCATGAAATTAAGTTGCAATTTGTAATAGTTTTGTCACACAACATTTGTGTGTCATTAAATGTTTCTACAATGCAGATATAAATGATAAAGAATTGAAATTGGTGTAGCCTTGAGGGTCATGCTCATATCACATTCTTCTTTATTACGCCGTCTCCTTTACAGAAGCTTGGCGACATTTTATGAACAGGATCCTTCCATCCTTTTCTCGGACTGGGACCTGTTCATATATGTTTCTTAGGCAGGTGATACAGAAGTGATTTGCTATTGCCTACTTCTGTGTGTATGGAGTATGGAGTAATTGTTGGGATGCCACAGAGAAACCGGGGAAGCCCCGGAGGAAAACTCCGTATTGCCTAGATCATGGCCTTGCCTGACACAAGTTATAAATTCGGGCACTGTCAGGAATCGAACCCGGGACCCCAGGATTACAAGGCCAGCGTTCTAACCGCAGTTCTTTTTTGGAACAGTAACCACTTGTTTGTCTGTCTGCCCCTTTCAGTACCGTGTTGGTAGTGGCATTTCCTAGCACAAGCATAAAGCGTGTAGCAGGAGAAATTTCAGAATGACTTGTCCTGTGATATCTGGTATTTTGTCTGAGCATTCGTTAAACCAGTGGCATTAGGCATGATAAGTTAAAATAGTCTGTCATATCAGCCCTGCCATGATAATAAGTGCATAGTTCACTCCTATGACTCGTTGTTCTTGTGGCCAGTCAGGTAAACATATTTTTTGTTTATGTGTTTAGCCATGGTGATATACTTTAATAATACAGTGAAACCTCGATGCATCGTTTTCGGCGGGGGTGGGAAATAAAAACGATGAATGCGGGAAAGCATTAAAAATTTTAAAAAAAACAATGTTTCTCTTTCAAAGTTACTTCTTTTTACCAAAAAAGGCTTTAATGGACAACTGGTTTGTCGAAACTTTACGTTTTAGGCCAAACAGAGCCCTTTCCACGTTCAAAAGTTTTTCCTCGTCACGTTCACTAATATTATGCGCATAAAAGAACGACTTCACTTTTGCCAATGCAGCGTGTGCTTCGGCAAAACTCGGCAAAGTTCGGGCTCGCATTCGTCGTTTCTCCCTCTTCCTCACCGCTCCATCAAACCTTCGCGGACTATAACAGGAAAAATGGAAGTACTATTACTGCCGAACTCAACGAAACGTAGCTGTAGAAGACACGATATGAACCAGAAGAATGAAAAAGTTTCGCTCGCCTTTCCTTTGTACTTATAATAAAAGCATTTGTGAAGAAATTCACACTGCACATGCCATCTGGCATCGCTGGAACGAAATATGAGTGCACCCTAATTAAAATCGTAAAATTTCTGACAATGCGCGCCGCCATTCTCTCCAACTATCACCCCTGCACCGCTGACCCTCATTCCAAAAGAATGTGCTGGTTGGGCGACATAACAGGTTACCGCTACTGTGTATTCCAAAAACATTATGCGTCTTTCGGTATTAATTTATCTCTAAACCCAGCATTTTAAATTCTCAGAAACGATCATTGCGGGAAAATTGTGGGCCGGGACTAAGATTTTTGAACGATCGATGCGATAAAACGATAGTTCGAGGAACGATAGAAGCGGGAAAATGTAACATTTTATATGGGATGTATTCGGGACCGAACAAAACGGACGATGCATCCGGGAAAACGATAGTTCCGGGAACGATGGATAGAGGTTTCACTGTATTAAGAAAGGAGTGTTTTGTGCTTAGTGTTTTATCAGATGACAGAACTGTTGTGATAATGTAATCACATGCTACAGTCCAGAGGTTGGTGTTCCTGGTTTCTAATATTGGCTTGGAGAATGGTTGTCCTAACTGGAGCATTTTGTGATTTTTATCAGTCCCTCCAGGCAAATGCTGAGATAGTACCTGCAATTAAGGAAACAAAATTAGTTATCATTGTCATCTTTATAATTAAGGTACTTTTGAACCATTCTGGCCTATTTGGCATATACTTCAACAACAATTTAGTGTGGTTGATCGAATGAATTATGTCCATTTTATTGATGCAGAACATTTATTTCTAAACTAGAATTTCTTATTCTGTGCAGATTACATGTATTTGGCCGAGACAGTACCATTCGGCCAGGTTGGCTGACAGTGGGTCCTGAACTGACTAACAGTAATTTCAATGCAGAGCTCTATGCAAGTTATTTTTCAAGTGGACAAGCGACCACTGGGTGCACAGAGCGGATAGAAGCTCTGAGACCAAAGTCACCCCCACCAAAAGGAAAGGGAGCTCCAGGTGGCCGAGGGAGGGGAGGTTCTTCCCGCGGGGGCTTCTCACGTGGTCGTGGAAGAGGAAGATAAGGATAGCTTGGTGTTTGAGTAGATGAATGTTTCATATAAGCATTGCAGGTAAATGGTGTTGAAGCATCTAGTCATGATTTACAGTATGAGAATATACAGCGCTCCAAAATGATGAATGCACTTCAAAAAAATTGTTTATAATGTACAACATGCATCAACCTAATGTTGACCATTGTGCAATGCATAGTGTAAAATTTCTCAGATTAATAATTTATTTTTTGATATTGAGATCTATACCATTGTATCTTAGGACTAATTTGAACTATCTGATATATGTTTAATGAATAATGTACCACATGTCCTGTCCTTATAATTTGTCCATCGTGTTTTAGCTTTTGAAGTTTACGTGGTATGGTACGGTTTTTTAAAGGAATTTGAAATACATGTAATTTATATACCTGGGTTGTCTAAAAGGCAATTTAATGTTTGTTGGTGAGTGTGCCTACTTACACTCATGGAGAAAATATTTATTGGGTGCAGACCTTGTGGAAAAATATTGAACTCATTTCATATGTAGACACAGAGGTATCTTAAGTCATTTGGCATTTTAATTCAGACTTGTTTTTGAGGATTTGCGTTAAATTCCTAACTTGGATCATCACTTCAAATGCATATGATCTTCCCCAATTAAGACATTTTGTAACTTATGGTGGGAATTCTTTCATTGCTGAACACTTTGGCGAAAGGTATTTGTTTTCTGTATGTTATTAAAATATTCATATAGTTTTGAAATGTATTAATCATTTTGGGCTGTCAAGTGTTGCTTTTGCCCAGAAGTATCAACATTATATTCTGTACACTGATACATGGTGTGACTCAACATTTTGTTTGCTGTTTATATTAATGTCTGGATTATATTTCTTTAATAGTGATTGATTTTCATCAGACTGTTCCTCATATAATGTGCAGTGCTAGTGGATTATTCCAGCAGGTTTTATTTTCGTAATGTATTTCACCAAATGTTTTTTCAGCGTCATCAAATAATGTAACGTTCCGTACTAATACTGCTGATGCCTGAAGGTTCGGTTAATAAGAAGAATATTAGGTCTGAGTCATCATTCATGTGGCTGTTTATGTTTAACCTATTAAGTGACATTTGGCTTATTGTTCCCCATGCATAGATTTTCAAGACACCAGCCCACCTAAATTTTTGAACCAAATCAAGCACAATCTTTTGTTTTAATTTAATTTTAACTAAACTTTTAACTTATTTTTACCTGGTAAGCTTGTGAAAGTATATTCTTTCATTACGTTACAAATAGAACTGTACGGCTCAGGATAGAGTTTACTGGATGGCTTTTGTTGCTGAAGTGATGAACCTTATGGTCCAGTAATACAGTGCAGTGATAACAAAGGAAGTGTGGGGTTATCTGTAAAAGTAGTGTAAGTTTTCAGTTGGTCTGTTTAATAGAAGAACTAGCTGATTCATCAAATCGTTTTATGATTTTAACAGTTTTATGTCAGTTTGGTGGTCCCACACATTTTCCACATCCATTATCCATTGGTTTTATGCAGTGGGGTTACATGAAACTAAACCATCCCAACCCCCCCCCCCCCCCCCACCTAGTCAAGGTGTTTTCATGAAATTGTATCACAGTAATAAAATTTGATCAGTTATTGTAGTGGCTCTCTTTTCTGTGACTGTTCCATTCTTTCCATCATGAAATCCTGCCAGTCATTTTGGCAACTCTGTAATTTTGTCTTTCTCTTCTTCTTCTACGGCTCTCCGGTCCGTATTCGGTCCATGGCCTCTTCCATTCAGTCCTACTGTTAGGCCTGTCTGTTCGAGGCTTTGATTGAGGTTTCGAAACATCTTCCTTTTTACGGTGCAAGGTTGTTAGCCTTGCCACCAACCCCCGACCTGGAGGACCAGGGTACCTGTCTTAGTCTGACCTCTTCCCCTTGACCAATCTGGCTAAGGAGGCCCTACCAGTAGCTCTTGGGGTCACTGAGGTACTCAAGCCCCATGACCACGACAAGGTGCAGGTACCATTAAGTGGAGATAATTTTGTCTTTAATTAAAACTAATTTTGTTATGTAGCAATTGTGAGGAGGACGGGACAAGAGGTGTGCACCGGGTACTGGTTGGGAAACCTGAAGGGAAGAGACCGCTGGGGAGACCTAGACGTAGATGGGAGGATAATATCAGGCGGGATCTATGGGAGATAGGAGTTGAAGGAGACTGGATTTTGTTGGCCCAGGACAGGGTCCGGTGAAGGTCTTTGGTTAATTCGGTGATGAACCTTCGGGTTCGGTAAGCCATCTAGTTAGTTAGTTAGCAGTTGTGAGGTAATTGAGCAAATCACAGGTTTGATACTGCAAAAAGTAACCTCAAGGTGGAAATGTGGAAGTTAAAGGAGAGATGTAGTTTAAAATCTTTAATAGATTCATGGCTTGGAAAACCTAGACAAAGCTGGTTAAATTTTAATGGTCCAGAATCAAAGCCAGAGTAATAGAGATAATCTGAATGGTATAAGATTTGAAGCTAATAGAACTTTCAGGAACAAAACACAAAATTAATTTACAAAAATATAGTTACTTAAGATGCATGAACAAATTTAAGAGTGGTTGTAGCGCCATGTTTTGTAGAAGTTTACGATTTCAGAGGCCCTTGCTTTCATTATCAGGGTGATTGCCCTGGTGATGGAGGCAGCAAGGACCTTTACAACCCAGAAGACAGCCATTTTCCTACTCACTGCCAAAACAACCTCAAATCTACTAAATTTAAGAAGGGATACCAATCCAGAATTGATTCTGTGAATATGATAATAGCGATCAACTTGCATATTCCTTAAATAGGTGGAAAAATTCGAATTAATTGGGACATAGAGGCTTCTGGTCTGTCCTGATGATATTCAGTGAAATCACAAATATTCATAAAGAATGTGGAAAATATGGCTGATGGGAAGGTGGATCTAGAAATCTAAAAATAAATGTTGGGAGAAATGTGTCACGTATAAAATCTAGGACACACTCATTTAAGTTTAATTTGTAAAAAAAATCCTGTGAAAGTTTGCTGGAGTTCAGGTACTACTACTAGTAAGGCAAATAAAAATTATGAAAAATGTAGTGGTATGGTACAAAGAGGCGAGGAAAATTTTTTGACATAAGAAAGAAGAAAAATTTTAGGTGGATGAGACGTGAAGCTTGCATGGAGGAGATGAGAAAGTGCATACATGTTAGGGAATCTGAAGGCAATAGACCAAATGTGGGATAATTTTGAAATGCATTTTAAATTAATAGGATTGGTGTATGCAAATTAGATTTTATGGACTTGGCTAGGGTCTATTGGCAGGCTTTAGTGAACATAACCTTTGGGTTGCATAAAAGCACAATAAAATATTAATCAGTTTGGATACTGTCAACTTATCATGAAGAACTCTGTTCCATGTAATTTGTTAGCCTGTATTCTGACTTAATATATCAGTTGAACTATAGTTCTAAATCTTTAAGGACAGAATCCTGGTTACTGTCTTCCAGAAGTAGCCCTCTCGGTAGTTCTTAGCTAGGAGGATATAGCACATTATAAAGCTAAACAAAGAATTACAATATGGAGGACATGTTTGGCAACATATTGGAAACAAAAAACTATATTTGTGAGCCTGTTAATGTTTTGTACGTATAATTTCTACAGAATGGCAACAATATCTTATAATCTCATAGCGATACAAAATATAATACCTTACACCACTTCACAAGCCTTGAAAATCTTTCTCCAAATTCTTTGACCTCATGACACACAGACTACTGTCAAATTTTGGTTCCGTTGACACAGACGCGAGTTCACAGCAAAACAATTTTAAATAGGGAACATCTGATTCCGTGGATAATCGATCTAAGTTTCATTACAATATTCACAAGAGCCAGCCACTGGATCCTGACCTGAGCAACACGAATCCAATCCACACCTTCAAATCCAATTCCCATAAGATTAATCTTAATTGTACGCTGAAGTCTCCAAAATGGTCCCTTTCCTTCAGGGTTTCCTACAAAATGCTGTATGCACATTTTATCTTATCTTTTTTTACGCGTTACACGTGCCCCACCCGTCTCATTCTCCGCCATTTTTTTACACTAATAATATTTGGTCACGGGATGCTGACACTAAACATTGTGAAATACATCATTATAATTGTAAATACACTTAAAACGAACAACAACGTTATGAATAGATTGTTGATAGCAAAAGATCTTATTTGTGCGTCGCCCTGATATTTTTACGCCTTCTTCAGTAGTAGCAATGATGGTAGTTATATATAGTTTACATGTATCTCGTTCCCTTACGTTAGTTTTGAATTGTCGGGGGTATTTATATCACTAATGAAACCAGAAATGAGTTAGGATGCCCTAATCAAGTGACTATAGACGGTGAATGCGACCGAGTTTACATTTTCAATACGGGCAGAGATGTTTCTTTTCGTCACTGCGCGCATTTACCGATTCTGATGGGTTCTCCCATTCTCCTCTCATCCAGTGGATCTTGGGTCCAAAGTGACCGGAGTGTGAGGCTGAAGTCATGGATGCATGGAATTTTACCTTTACTTCCCTGTGCATCTTGGCGTGATGCTTAAATTCAGGGACACCCTTACCCGTGACCGCATCCCTACAGAGCACTTTAATTGTTTCTCCGTCCGTTTGCCCGTGCTCATACAGTTTTCGTGAAATATTTTATTTAGGAATTTTATTAAATTTGTCGACTCATTTCCGGTTTTGGTTAAATGTCGAACAATAACGGGCACCTTACAGAAACACTGGATGCTTTTCTGTGACTGGGTGGGCAGTTTCCAGATTGTCTCAACAAGATGGTTTCAAATTTCGGACCGTGAAGTTTGCGCAGCTATTATGACAAGAGAAAAGTTTTGTCATCCATTACCGCGACCAACAGTTTTCCCTGCAGAGTCAAAAATTATTTGTTTTTCTTAGAAATACACTCCCAAATGAAGTCCTCGACCTGCGATGATTTGTTGTATGTACGTAATATGTCATTAATATATTTGAGGTTAGATGGCAGGGCAATGCAGGTACGGGCAGCGAAATGCGCCTGCGTTGCTTATCAGGACCGGACCCATTTATCATTGCCATCGCAGTTATCAGTCGTGGTTCATACCATAACCAGAGCAGTTGTGTGCAGTGGTCGTACTCTGCAGTCGAGTACGTTAGGGGCGTTTCCATGTGTCGGTGACAGTAGGCTCGGAGACCACGTGCAACTTCCAGGGAGGTCGGGCTTGCTCAGAAATCGTTCAGCCGTTTTGTTTTCCTGTGAAGTGTAAAATAATATACGTTTGAAAATATTTTCGTCTGAACAAAATGCATCCAGATCAGAAAGGTTCAGATACTTTATCAGAAGTATCTGATGGAGGGACGGCTGGAACGAGTGTTTCTGGTCAAGGGAGCAGTTATGGAGAAAGCAGCGAAAATCTTCGAGAGCTTGTCACTACTTTGGGACTCTCGGCAATCGACGAACTTTATGAAGAACGATTCCGTGTTGATAGACGAAAGTTGGAACACATGATTTTAGGTATGAACTCGTTTCCTGAACACATGGGCATCTTCGTCGTTTCATGTCTTACAGCGGCAACTGGTACAGTAACCATCCTTCTTAACTGCAGTTTCTTATTCCACTCTGATATAACGTAAAGACGACATTTCAGCAACAAACTTGTCCCATTATATTGTTTGGATCAGAGTAGTGTATTTTTCTTTGTACGTAAACTATGGTCTTTGTAGAACTGATAAAAAAATTTATGTTAATGGACGTCTGAAAATTTTCCGACTGAGTAAAACAAAGAGCTTTATGCAGTTCCGTTCCGTTCTCTATCTGAAGTGTCTGTAGAGAGACATTAATCTCATGGTCATAGATTATTCTTTTGTGATGTTTGTAGATGGGCGAGGGCACCCATAAAAGTATCTACGGCTTAACATTTTGTTGTAACTGCGACTGTATGTCTTTTTGGTTGCAACTGAACCAGTATCACGTAGCTCGTGTCTGGTAGCCACTTTCTTGCATCACGATTTCGATATCTACGATTGCCTCTTCGTTTAACTATGTAAAAAACGTCGGTAAATATATGTACCACCGACTTTACCATTAAGTAATTCTACATTAGAATACAGAAACAATGTACAGGTTGGTTCCGTATGTTTCGCAGAATAAACAGCGATCATTTCCTTAAACAGCATTAACCAATTGAACTTTATCTTTGATTCAGGAGAAGAATTTTTATGTTAGATTAATTTTGTATTCAAAAAAATTATTTTGATTAAATTTAAATTAGAGGCCTCACAGTTTGTATCAACGGTTAGATTTCGATAAATATGAAAGTGTCTAATTTATAATCTCTTCGTCACCGTTTCTGTCGCCAGTTTTCAATCTCAGCCCAACCACCCCCTAACGCGTTCTTATCTTAAGGGCACGTCATATTACCCATTTTGTATTTTACCCAGATTCCTTATAGTCGATAAAGCGGCCACGCAATATTAGTTTTGCTTGTGGTCATTGAACGAATTTCCGAGTTCGGTTGTCATCCAGAATATGTGAACTGTTTGTCATAAAAAGTGGGTACTTAACTTAACCTGTTGAACATTATTTATTAGATAGTATATTACAAAGACGTGTCGGCTCCGCAACTGTCTTGCGGTTGAAGTGCTTCAGATAAGTGATGAAAGTCCGAAAATGAAGCACAATTACCATTTTCGTGAAAGATATTAACACGATAGCATATCTAGTCAAATTAGAGGAACGTTTAATATGGCAAGAGGGTGAATAATAATAATAATACGGTTCTTGTAGTACGCGCTGAGAAGTTGAGATGACGGTTTAAACACGGGAAATCGTGCACTGTGTGAACTTGTTTATAATAGTAAGATTTTTAATAAATTGTCATTTATAACACTGGCAGTTTGCAGTTGATAAAGGGTTAAATGTGTCCCCGTGACATGGAAAACAGAGAATCAATGTCTTTTTTTTTACACAGCTGCAGAAGTTGGTGGATTTTATTTACATTTGCTTACAATCGAACCTGTTATTTTTTCGCATTTGGAAATCGCTGTGAGTAGGCTTGTAACCCAGTGTCTTCTTTTACACCCGTAAATCGTGAATGTAATAGAAGTTATTAAAAAAATATGCGTAAACTTGTTTGATATAAAATTAACAAATGTGAATGTAGACATCGCTGCCTCTGTGATACGTGGAGCTGAATATTTTCGAAACCACTACTCAGTCGTGTTTGAAGAGGATCAATGAAAGACGCCGTTCTGCGGGAAGTCTGACTTTTCGCGATGACATTTCGAAAAAGAAATGTGCAGCACTGATTTACATCACATGCAACTTCTCTCTCTGTTGATTCATGTGTAAGGCATGTTGTTGCATGAACTGAGCGCAATACTGCGATAAAGCCCACAGGTTATTTTCCGCTTAACTACTTTCAGTTTCGCCCGTCCCACATCGAATATTTCGTGAAATTCTCTTTATAACTTCTTATGCAAGAAGTAATACTTGACGTTAAGACGTTTGCCGTTAGGCTGATGCAACATAAACACTTTTGGCATCCGTTAAAATCTCGTTAGGGTTACCCACTATCCTCAGTTTTTAGTTGTATTCCTCAGTCTGTCCATAAATCACCGTTAAACACTTTGAGTCATATTTCGTGTTAATGATAAATAATTGTTCTTGTGTCTTGCGCCCAGTGATTTTCACTATGGAATTAGGACTAGCGGTTCAAGGAAAGAGGTAGACGCACTGAGGTATCATTATTCGGACTGTGGCCGTTTTAGATGTGATGCAGTTTTTATGATTACTCTTGCACTGTGGCTTAACCAAAGTCGAGCAATTGACAAATAGTGTTCAACAAAATCCCATACGTTGTCTGGTTTCTGTTTAAGTAGCTTAATAGCACTTATCAAGGAACTAAGCAAAGGAATTAAACGTGATCTGTTCTGGTTTCAAAAAGACTTGGGGACGCAATCAAGAGCAATTCTGCGATAATTTTATCACGCGATGTTTGTCGATCTCTCGTTGATTTAAGAAAGGAAGATAATTTTTCCATTTTAAATGAATTGTTAAGATGGTTGTCGTTTTAGTAACTTGGACAAAGTTTTTAAAAATTAAAAAAAACGAAGCATCAGATTCGTGCAGACAGGCTGGAGACTTATTTTAAACGCCAGGAATTATTTAAGACGATAGGATGAAAATAGGTTTGTTACATAGCTTCACTTCCTGTGAGTCGTTTCACTCTGCAAACTTATTCGATATGTTTTCCAACAGCCTGTATTAACAGTTTATCTAGGCAACGACATATCGATTGCGAGCTGCCTGAAGATGTATCATTGACAAGGAAGAATTACACGCTGATTATAACTGTAATTACTGCAAGTGTATATCTTAAAGATTAGATAATAAAGTATGGTCTATTTTCATGAACCCACACCTCTTGGCGTGTTCTTCGTTTCTGAATGTACTTGATATTAGTAAGTCATTTGCAAGGCGATTATCAGGGAATTTGTCAGTTAGTAAAACGGCTGGGAGAAATGCAATCTCCAGTTGTTTTTATCGGGGCTCGGAGGGGATGAAGGTGTTAGAACACGAAAGTTGAACTACTTTTAAAAATAGCTCTTTTTATTTTGAGAGAAACCTTTCCAAAGTAAAGTGAAAGCAATCGAACAATCATCCTACTTGAATAGATCTCTTCAAGTCTTAATTGCTCTCTTTTTAATTCCAGGTGACGATGAAGCTCTGGAACCAGCTGACTCGTTTTTCCAGAAGGTATGAACCCTTTTAATTTAGCTGCAATCTTTGTATAATTAAAACGGAGCTTACACGGTGAATTTTGAAAATTCAGAACTTTCGTTAAGCGGAGTTCAAAACTTTTGTCTGACAACCGTTCCAGGTTGCGTGGGATGCCATATATTTGTTCAAGATTTTATGGAGATTACACAAATAGCTACAGTACTTCGGCACTCCTAAGGTTTTGGTTTAAATATGATAATCTAATTGTGTAGTGTATTACGATCATGTAATAAATGTTCTGTCCGTTGCTCTCGTAAACGCATGGGCATGCAATACCTCTTCCCCATACGTGGTGATTTGTTATGCACAAGGGGCAGAGCCACCTTTATCTTCGACATAACGAAATAATTACTGCCTCTGCACAGCAGAATCTCTTTGCTGTTGACACCTCTGTGAAGAATGGAATTTATGACTGTAGTGTAACATCTGCTGTGTTGATTCAATCAGTCCACAATAACAAACTTATATCTAGACCAGGAGTCGACAGCCTTTTCGTTACCATGGGCAGCACTGATTAGTCATCACGTCTTTGTCGAGAGCCGAAGGAAAAATGAACGATGTTGTTGACAATAAGCGAAACTTTCTTTTACTTCGAGTACAGCTGATGGTTACTTGAAAAAATAGCTGTATTTTTCCATAAATAATCAACGATGCTCTGTTAATAAACCTCTCGCATACTAATGTTACTTCACACTTCATGAAGATGGTGACAAAATGTTTCTCCGAAACGTTGCTTTCTACCTACGAGTGTACAGAGCGACGCAGCCCAGCCCAATTTTTTTTTTACCGCTGTGGGAACCTGAATTTTCACATGAAATGAAGATTTCATTTAAGCGATATGTTGCACTAAAATGAGAGCCCATAGGATTTTCTTGTTCTCAACTGGACGTTATCCTCTGTTGCTACATCTCATATTCCTCGCATCTTCCGCAAATATTGACAACTTTAAAGATTCGTCAACAAAACTGGGCACTGTTCCCATTAGCATTCTTTTTAGATCATTGAGAGGGATATTTTAAAGACGTATTAGGCATTTATGGTTAGTTAATTGTTCCTCCAAACAAGATTTCAAATGTTAAGACACTGCTTCGTACACCACGCGGAAAGTGTGATTAAAGAACTTTTAACCTTGTAGAGCATAGGGGTCAATATATATATAGCACCTGCTTTAACGTTTTTCATAACTCAGCATTTCTCCTACAGAGTGTATATTGTTTTCGTATGAATCTGAGTGCAAACAACGATTATTTTCGTAAGTGGGATTAAATCGCTGATCTTCGTAAAGTAGCACGCGTTGTTCAGTTGATTTGTAAGTAGGAATTTAAGTTTTTCGTATTTGGATGAGCTTCGTGCTTTTAAGGGTTAAAATAAGCTTCCGATTCGATTTGAAGTAACTTCCAATTCGAATTTGGTACAAATTACTGTGGAACTTCTGTTCTGAACGTGACTTCGTTGTCCGTATCTTCAGTGGGGACCCGAAGTTTTAAGTCCCACAAGAAGGTAATCATTTTTGATATTGAAAATTATTCTTACCGTTGTTCGAGGCATGACTCAGAGGTCAGTTGACACGTTTTATCTGTCTAAAACAAATTTTTCTGAAACTGCCGAAACAATGTAATCAGCGCAGTGTTATTTAGTTTAAGATGGATCCGAACCAGTACGAAGATATTATCTTCAACGTTTCAAGTCTCGTGCTGGTGAGTTAGCTATATTAACGTCAGTAAAATGGGTTTGACTTGTACTA